GAGAATAATATTGCAGCTAATATTCTAGGCGATAACCTAATTATTTATATATAGTGCGTGTATTATACTACTATACTATACTATATATAGTCTTTTAGTTATACTTATACTACTATTAGCAGAAGCCGGTAATTAAGGCATATATATCTATAACTACCTTATAAAATAGTCTTCCTATAAGCAGCTAAGTAGGTAGTAGATAGTATAGCTATAGGTAGTATTTCCACTACTACTACTATAAGATCTATATAGATCTATTATAGCCGCGCTATATATCTACGCTACTATTACTATCTTTTTTACCCTTAGCCTTCTTCTTACTACTTAGAGTAGGATTATCTTCCTTTATAGCCTCTATAGCTATCTCTATACCTTTTATAGCTACGCTTACCTTACTTATACCTTTTTCTTATAATAGCACCTATAGCTTTCCTATAAGCAGATAGTTATACTACTAGCCTAGCTTCCTACTAGGATAAAGTAGTAGATACTATATAGGTAGATACTCTATATACTACTTATTAATAAACTATAGTGTACTATTAGCTCTATTCTCTAGCACAATCTAACGTATTCTACTATTCATTTCTATAAAGATAGATATAAAAGCTATAATTTTACTTATAGTTAGTTAATTATATCTATATAGATTAGTCGTAGCAGCTTTAATAATACTAATAGAGATAGTGATACTATAATTATTATAGAGTCTCTTCGCGTTAGTGCGAAACACTTATATAGATAGGTTAGTAGTATATAGCACGCGCTAGATAATATAAAGAGTTTCTATATTTAGGTTCTAAAACGCCTAGCCGCGCTATTATAGCTACTCCTTCTCGCTATTAAAGATATATAGCTATATAAAGCTAGAAGCCTAATTTATAGAAGCCTATAGCGTATTAATATAATAGTAGAGCTAGCCGTACGCGCGGAATATATAGACGCTATATAGCTACTATATAAGCTTCTTATTAATATCTATACCGAGAGAGTAGAATATAAAGATATTATTATAATAGTAGATATAATTATAGAACTTTTATATTAGGGGTGTATGTTGCGTTCGCTAGTTTATACCTTCTAACTCTATAAGTAACTACTATAGCTCCTATAAGTATTACTCTTATAAGAGTACACACACTACGCTATCCACGTAGTAGCTAAGCTATAGGTTCTTCTTTATTAAATTCCCCCTTCTCTTCTTAATCTAATATAGCGCCCTATAGTAATAGTAAGTATAGTACGCGCGCTATAGCGTAAAATAGTAATTAACTCCCTACTATAAGAGTTCTCTAGTAATATTCTTATATAGCTTATAGATAACTTCTCTATAGTTCTATATATAGTAGAAGCCTATCTCTAGAAGCGGCTTAGGCGCTATATACGTCTACTAGTTAGAGGATAGTATATACTACTATATAGAAGTCACCTTAGTATCTTCTATAGCTAATTAGCTTGCATCCCTTTACTATAATTATAGTATATAGAAGAATAGTTAGAGAGAGGTAGCGCGGTTACTAGAACCTACAGATAGTAGAGGAGAAAGAGTAGAGCGTATATAAGGGTATATATAAGTGGTAGTAGGAGGTATAGAGGAAGAGGTATATTAGATGTAGTGCCTATAGGATATAATAATAGGAGGAGGCTCTACGCGTATCTATTATAAATTAGTATAGATGTTAAATAATTATAAAAGAATATAAGAATCGATATTTAAGGATAAGCTCTTTATAAAAGCTATATAGATAATAGTAGATAGTGCAATTTAATTGCGGGTATATAGGGGAGGAAGCTAGCTTATAGGGAGCTAAGATAGAGGAGAAGAATAGAGAGTCTATATACGGCTTACTCTTACCTACTCTAAGCCTATATAGATATTAAAAGATTATAAGAGAGTATAAGAACTAATACTTAAGGATAAGTTCTCTATAATAAAGATATTATCCTAGTCTTACTACTATAGTTGAATAGCCTACACGCGCGATTACCCTTACTATAGCTAGTTCTACTACTTCTAGTGGTACTAGTAATATCCTAATAGATAAGCTTATTTACCTTTATTATACTTTATTCGTCTAGGTATAGTATCGCGATAGTAAGTAAGAATATTAGTAGTAAGGGTAGAAGGTCTATAGTAATAGTTTTAACCCCTAAGACTAGTACGTAGCTAGTGTAAGACTAAAGCTTTAACTAAAATTTTAAATCTCTAAGGCTTTTACAGCAGTAGTTATAGGGTGCTACAAAGTAGATATATTAATAGAGTAAGAGTAGGCTTAGAAACGTTAGTACCACTTTTTGCGATTTTAATATGTAGTATTTATTATAGCGCTGTAAGCGTTTTTCCTACAGAAATTTAGAAGGTAGCTGTAGTTTTCACTAAGGTAGCATATAGTAGAAAAACCTATTTTATTAAGTATATTAACAAGATTCTTATTCTAAGTTAAATATAATTCTAAGCTATGCTATAGTATAAAATCACCTACTTATATACTATAGTCTAGAGTAAGTACCCCTATAATTTACTTTATTTACTCTATCTACTCTTTCTATCTTAGTATGCTCTACTATAAATTAAGTAGAGTATACTAAGTCTAGTAGAGCGTATTATATATTAGTCTATACTAGCTAGTATCTAACTAGTCCACTAGTTCCTATTCGTAATATCTACTCTTTATCTTTTCTAATTTAAATCTAGTTCTATACTTCTAGAATACTAATCTTACTAAACTACTTAGTTTCTTAGATTCAATCCTATAACTCTATTATTAAATATAATAGAGAACTAGGTTTAATAGTTATATTATCTAGTCTCTAGTAGTCTATATATAGTTATAGAGTACTATTCTTCTTAGGTATAAATAGAATAGAGTATTCTATAAGCGACTAGAATAGCACTATAATAATATATATTTATAATAATAGTCTTAAATCTACTCTAATATTATCTATCTACTTCTTATAAGTATCTACTTACTACTTAGCTTTCTAGGCTAAGCTCTATCTATACTCTTATATTCTATGTGTTTTGCTAAGTTAGTTCTATAGAGTTACTACTCTGTAATACTTCTTCTCTAGTATTACTTACTCTAATGCAATATTTATTTCTAACACTCTAGCTTCTACCAAATAGTCATTTTAATCCTATCTCGCTTACTTAAGTAGAGTATCGTGTCGCTAGTAATCTATAACCTTCTAGCCTAGCTCTAATAGCAAGCTAGTATCGGTAGCACCTTGCTAGGTCTATTGTTTGTTCTGTGATCCACCTCTATTATTAATCTAGTTAGGGATTACTAACATGCAGCGACGCTCTGCTAGCGTAGAAGTACATACTACTAGGTTATATAGCTATTACAGGGAAGAATTTAGTATTTGTCAGCCGCTACTTACACTAATCTAACTGTAAGTAGTTCCTACGTTCCTTGTCTAATGTCGATGTTTGTAAGTATAGGCATAGTTTACCGAGTATTATTATTGGGTCGGGATTTAGTGGTCTATTTAGAGCTCCAGCATCATTATAGCAATAATTGTCGCCGCTCGTTCGAACACCTTCCAAGCTTGCTGAAGTAGTCCGAGCCTTGCTTGGCTCTAATAACACATTGTTTCCCCTGCTAGTGTCTTGAAGCCGATCGCTCTGCGAACTATAGTCTTGTGGTATCCTATTCTCGACTACAGCAGCGACTAGGGAGGAGTATCCGCCAGATTCCGCTGTTGCGAAAATCTCTTATGAGGTTGCCGAGACCACCTGATCAACTACATGTTCAGTCGATTGAGCCTACCTGGGGCTTGAGAGCGGATGTGCACCGATAGTAGTATCTTAAATAGTAGGGGTTTGTGCAGATACTTGTTCATAGTCTACGGGGATGTTATGTCGAATAGAACGGATGCCGTACGATGTGGACGGTGCAACTACGTTCTGATCGTTTTGTCGAGTGGAAGGTATCAGCGATGCTTGAAAGTTCACCTAGTCAATGTCAGCATGTCCTTGTAAGGATCTTACATAAGGTACAGGCGGTAATATCGTAATGCTGCAATTTCTCACCTAAGCGGTAGTGATTTGTGAATGCTGTCTTGCAGAACCCTTACTAGTAGTAGAGGACCCGAAACCGGGGGGGCGGCCCCTTTTTCTAACCGAACGCTTGCCCTTAGGAGTCGCGTCTGGAGGAGTGTTTCCAGCACCGTCCTCCATGAGCGTAAGTGATAATTGTTGGTTAACAGACACGCAGTCACGCAGTCTGTCTTTGGACCTTGTTGTAAGGGGTGATATAGTCCGTGCAGGAGGCTTAGGAACACCACAAACATCATACTTATTTATCACTCCATACAGGTATTCTGGTCAAGTTTAGAACAAACTTGGAGCGGATTAACCTATTACCGGTGATTCAAGACTCGGTGATATAGATGTTCCGTACAGAATACTAGGAATCTACTATTCGTGAGCAAGTTCTAAAAAGCCTACGCTAGAGTATAGCCTCCGCACTTCGATATGACATCAACTTTCAGTACACTACAACCTGCGATATTGTCTTTTATGTTCAATGACACTTTCGCGCTGTTGTTAGTCGCGACCGCACTCTACGTACGTACCTCCACTAGAGTTTCCTATACTGCGAACTTCTTAGAAGCGTGTTTCTAATCAATCAAATTAGGTTGTAACTGTTTCGGTCTATCGGCTTACACTCCATCCTTTAGCAAGATATCCCGGTCCATTCTTTTCTAAGATCTCAGGATGGCCAACAGTATTCCAGGCTGCGAGCGGCAGCCGGCACCTCCAACAGCTTAGAGAACACCAAATCTACGGTATGATCTATCATCAGCCATTTGCTAGAACACTTTCACTGGAACATACAGTTTTGCAGGTTCTGTCGTTCGCATCGGTCCTAATAGCCTGTCTTACAACACCCATTCAGCGCTCAGGGACATCTACAGCCTTAGTACCGCTAATGTGCGAAAGGCCGACTTCTACTTGACTCTTGACGCCGCAGCTGGCGCTCTAAGCACACATGGCGAAATCGACCGACGGAAGCACGCGTCTAGACGCCGGGTTCTCGGACATGCGTTCTCCGATAACGCCGTCAGGTCTGCAGAAGACATCATCCTCCAAGATATACGAACGCTCTGTAAGCTCCTAGGTTCTACCGAAGAGGACGCACAGCCAGTCGGATGGATACAGAAAAACATGGGTGATCTATCCACCTGGCTGGCATTTGATATAATGGGCGCTCTCGCCTTTGGCAAGCGTTTTGGGTGCCTTGAAGGCACCGAGCATCGCTATGTTTCTAAACTCATAATGGAATCAAGTAAATTTACGTACTGGGTATTCAGTCTCTCCTCTCCATTAAAGTCTGATAAGTTAACGCTAACTGCTCCCGCTATCCAGGTCGGTTACCTCCCATTCGCTAAGCTATTGAACCCGACCCTCAATAGTCTGATTATGAAGGTCGTCGGCGGCCAGATGGCTCGTGACAACATTAGGTTCACTGAATATGCCGAGAGTCAACTCCAGCAGCGTATCAAAATCGAACGACGATCTTCAACTATGGAAGGAACGAGCCGCAAAGACTTCGCACACTACCTACTCAATAGCAGAGACCCCCAGACCGGGAAAGGCTTTGAATATAGCGAACTCCAAGCTGATATCGGTCTTCTCATTGCTGCAGGCGCCGACACCGTTGCAACCACACTTTCCGCAACGTTTTTCTACCTTGTGCATAATCCGCATGTCCTCTCCAAGTTGACTACCGAGCTCCGCTCCACATTTGTCTCCACCTCCGAGATCCGTCACGGCCCAAAGCTCGCCTCGTGCAAGTACTTTACGGCGTGCATAGACGAAGCGCTACGCTGCTCTCCACCTGCCCCTTCTCATCTCCCACGTGAGGTCCTTCCCGGTGGCATCAAGATAGATGGACATTCTGTTCCCCCCGGTATCGTCGTCGGTGTTCCTGCTTATGCTATCCACCATAACGAAGCATACTACCCTTCGCCCTACACCTTTTGGCCTGAGCGCTGGATCGTTAATTCGGATAGCGATGTCACAGTTGAGAGTGTGGCGCGGGCCCGTGCAGCGTTCTGCCCGTTCAGTTTAGGGTCTAGAGGCTGTATTGGGAAGCGTGTAGCATATATGGAACTGCAACTGGCCCTAGCGAATATAATACTACAGTACGACATCCGGCAGGCGGCAGGCGAGCCGAGTGGGAGCAGAAGTCCAGATCTTCATTCGTACACGCAAGGGAAGCATGAGTATCAGTTAGCAGATCGATTTATCTGTGACAGGCGTGGGCCGATGATTGAAGTCAGAGCTCTATAGAGATGGATGCCTCTGCTAAGACTCATTTATGCATAGAAATAAAATTGTTGGAATTTCATGCCAGTTAGGTCTTATTGAGTGACCCCGAAGTTCGCTATACGTATCCCGGAAGCCCTCTAGCTAAGACAACTGAAAGCTCTACTATAAACATTGAATCGTACTATAGTATAACAGGAACAACAGGAATGTTGCTTATCCTTCAGTAAGGTGAAACCGCTTATAACCACTCGCAAACCAATCTAATAGAGCGACTATAAGAATAAACCCTAGAACAGGCCCAGTGTAGTTTATGTTTGTACTAGTGACAGGTTGCGTGGGAGGAAAAGGCAGAATAATTGTAATATAAGTCCTATAGACAATAGCAAACAAGTTTACTAGAAGTTCCTACACGCTAAGATTATACAAGCCGTAGATAGGACGCGGACTATTTAACTTTCGTTTAATAAGGAAGATAATTAGAACCAAATAGGAGATGTAAAAGGCTATTATCAAGAGTGAAAGAACCGCGTAAAATGCTATTATAGAACTAATATTAATAAGACTTAATAGGACGACCACGACAGTGACGAGCCCAAGTGAGTTAAGAGGAATCCGAAGAGTAGGGTGAATCTATTATATAAGTAAGTAGCAAGATAGCGGAAGGGTTAATATTAAAGCTTATATATTAGAAGAAGATCGAAAATAGAAGGCTATTATCTCTTGCAAAAGCCTATATCAGTCGAGATACAGAAGTAAGGACGCTAAATAAGGAGATAAGGCCTCTAATAATTATTAACACAACTAAAATACTAGTTCTAGTCTTCGATTTCGTTATCTAGTAATAAATCTCGATAATAAAATATCTAGTTGAAGTAGTTAGAACGAATTCTATATCCTCTAAAGTGAAGAGAAGATAGATAATAGAGGTAATAGTAAGAAAGCTATTAATAACTATATTCTAAACTATACTTTGCGGGATAATTCTTAGAGCGTTGTTCATCTCCTTAACTATATCTGCGTAAGATTAAATTACAGGCTCGCTTGAGGATACCTTCCTAGTACTACTATATAAGTAGTTTTATATATACTAAAACCTTAATTTATTAAGCTATTCTCTAGAATTTATCTTATTTTACAATAGGTTCTAGTTTTAGAGCTAGTTATTATAATTCTCTATACTTCTAAGCTATGTATTACTACTAAGTTAGTTAGTACTTCTAGTACTAGGAGAAGTGGTAGGATAGCCTATATATTAGGTCTTATTCCTTCTTCTAGAGCGTTTTTTATTCTAAATTCGATTCTAACTAAAATTATTTTCTTTTTTTCTTATTTTTCTCTAAACTACTATAATAAACTATACTTTTTTTAGTATATTTATCTGCTTCTAGCGGCTTAGAATTTTAATATTAACTCTATCAGCTTAGTTATCTACCCTATCTTCTTTTAGTCTTTCTTATTCTAAGTTACTCTAATATATTACTATATTCGGCCTAGCTTAAATCTAGTATTAGTAAACTGTATATATTTTACTAGATTTAACCGCTTATAGGCGCTTAGATTTCTAATATCTATTTTTAATAGCTAATAACTTAATATATCTTTTCTTTTCTCTAATAGATTTCTGTATCTTTCTACTAAATTAGGTTTAGCGTTAAACTACTATAGTAAACTATATTCTTTTTATTATATTCTTCTACTTATAGCCGCTTGCTTTTTTAATACTACTAGTATTATCTAAACTATCTACCTTATCTCTATTTATCTTTAGTTACTCTAAGTTACCCTAGCCTCCTATCTTTTTAGGCTTAGCGTAGAATTAATATAGTAAGCTATATTTATTTTAGCGTGTTTATCCGCTTGTAGCCGCTTACTTTTTCAATATTAGTATTATTACTCTACTCATCTACCCCTATCTCTCTTATATTCTTTTTACCCTAAACTACTCTAACTATATTCCCTTTTAGGTCTAGCGTGAATATAATGTAATAGATTCCACTTACTTCAGCGTGTTTATCCGCTTCGAGCCGCTTAGATTTCCGATAGCACTCCTATTAAGGTTCTCAAAAGGCCATCCGAACTAATTGAGCCGAAAATACTAGTATAGATAGTAGTATTCCGGGTCGTATACTATTAGGCTTATTAGGTAATTCCAAAGTAGAGATATTAGATTCTATACTAGGACTTATATATCTTCCTTTTTTAGTAAGAGAAATATTAATAATACTACTAGTAGATATCTCTCTAGCATATCTCTTACTAGAGCTAGTACTTGTAGTATTAATACTAGTATTATCTCTTATAGAGCTTAAACTAGTAGTAGTACTAATAGATTTATCTTCTAGAAGATTAAAGTATCTTAGAAATTCTATATTTAGCTTTAGAAATCTATCTTCTATAGTTTTAGAACTATTGATAGATAGAGTACTAGGTCTACCGTACATTCAACTAGCAGTAATAGTAGAGTAATTGGCTACTAAACCTTCTATTAATAGAGGCTCTTTATCTACTACTAGATTAGTCTTAATTCTATACTCAATAATATAGATAATAAGCTACCTATAAGTATTTAACCCTAAGCTAACATCTAAGTAAGACAAGGTTTCTTTACTAAAGTTCCTAGTTATAGTATCTTCTATAAATTATATATTCTTATCTTCTAATAGATAAGAAGTAAATTCTTTATAATCTAGGTAATTAATAGCTATAAATCTATAGAATAGTACTACTAGTAGTAGATAGAGCTTTATAATATTACTAAGCTTAGGTTCTAAAAACCTAATATTAATAGACTCTTACTCTATAATATTATAAGCTTTATATTACATAGTATTAAATCTTATCCACGCTTTTCTAGACTCTATTACTATATTTCTAAGCTTAGTTTCTAGCGTATCTCTATATTTTATTAATACTAGCTCTTTATTCCTAATAGAAGATCCACTAGTTAAATAAATAGCTATAGATAGTGGTTCTAAGAATCTTTTTCTATTCTTTAGAAACCTAGTAATAGTTTTATTTTTAAATTAAATACTATTATTAGCAATAGAAGAGGCTTATCTATAATACTAGATAGACTTTATATAATTTTTACTAAAGCTAGTATTTGTATCTAAGACTCTATTAATTAATAGGGTTTTATACTTAGATAAATCTTGCTTAGGCGTAATATAGTCTATAAAATAAGAATTTGGAGTCTTGTTAAAAGGATTATCTATAATACTATTAATATCTAAGTCTATTAGTTTAAAATCTCTTTCTATATCTAAGAGACTTCTATATAGTATAGTTTCTAGTCTATATAGAATAGAGTGGAAAAATCCCTCTAGTCTAGTTAAATCGATAATGTTATTATCTATAGATAGATTCTCGTTATCTATATCTATTATTCTACTTTCTTTATTTCTAGTTCGAACTATTCTTCTAGTAATAATCTTTAGCTATACTAAATTCTTAAAACAATTACTAGATCTATTAGTTAATAGATTATTATAATCTAGAAAGAACTATTTATCTAGATCGAAATCTAGACCTCTAGATTTATAGTCTCTACTTTTATTATCTAAATATCTTAGATATAATAGCTGAAAGTAGTAGATCATAAAGGAAGTATAATTCTCTACTACTAATTTGTTCTTAAATTCTCAGGTAAAAGAATTAATAGAGAATAGAATAATAAAAGTACTAATAGAACTAGCTAATTCCTCTTTAGTATTTATATCTAGTTGTGTTTTCTTTTGCTCGAGTAGATTAAAAGCTATTTCTATAATAATATCTTCTATATAATATCTTTTTCTATATCTAAATCTTGATTTCTTAATTGCTCTAGAAGAGTATCTAGATTATCCTTTACTCTATTCTCTAGTATAAGTGTATTATTTTCTTCTGTACTAGTGGATTTAATTCTATTACTAAGTATATAAATTCGTAGTATATAAGTAATTATATCTGCAAAGTACTTATAGTATCTAACTTTAGAGCCTTTAGTTAATTCCTAAAAAGAACTAAGAATTTTATTATATAGTGTAGAATTTTCTGTATATAGCTGTTGTAGATATCTTTTACTATATATATTAAGTAGAAACTCCGAGTTATAAAGTATTCTACTAGTATAGTTATAGACTTTATCTAGTGTAGTAAAGTCTAAAAGTAGGTTTTTTCTAGAAAGCTACTAAGTTCTTTACTCTCGAGATTATGTCTATTAATAGTTCTAGTATAATCTGCTATTTCCTTCTCTTTCTCTTTAAAGCTACTAGTAATACTCTCTACTAGAATAGACTTAGGGATTTTACTAGTAGTAGTATTAATATTAGATATAGTATTATCTATCTTAATAGCAAAATACTGCCTACTACCTTATACATTATAGAAGGTTTGTATAAGTTAATTCTCTATATAATAGGGTTGTAGTTCTATACTATTATTATACTTAGCTTTAATACTATATACTTGGTTTAAATGTATTTTAATACTTTTATAATTAGTATAAGCATATTTATTACATGTTTTATATATAAATCCAGTTATATCTCTTTCTAGATCTTTAAAGTTATGCTTAAAGAATTTAGGAAGAGCTATATCTTTACGTTCTTTAATTTCTAGATCTTTAAATAGATAAAATAAGGTTTCTATATCTTCTTTAAAGGTCTCTTTATTATCTTTCAAGATTTCTTTATTATTTTGTTTTATATAAGATTTAATATACTTTGCTTTATTACTATTAAGGCCTATTTAACATTTACTATAAAGAAGAATCCTAAATTCTTAATTATATTTAATTCAAAGAGAGAGATTATCTACTTTAGTATAGATAGAGTTATTTATAGAAGTAGTAGAGGTAGAGAAAGACATTTTTCTACTCTATTTAATACATTAGTATCTATTTAGCTTAAGGTAAAGTAATTACATATACTAGTCTATTTTTTTATTTAAGGTTTTATAGTTTTTCTATAGAAATATATATATAAAATATTAAATCTAGGATTTTCTTCGTAGAGTTTTCTTTTTATAGAGAGACATTCATTATAGATAAGACAGATAGATAGATAGATAGGTAGATAGATAGGTAGATAGATAGTATAATAAGTAGTTTAAAGATGTAGTTTAAGTAAGAGTAAAGAGTATATAGATAAAAGATTATTAATTAAAACTTAGTAGATAAAGAAGGAAAGTAAAAGTAAAAGAGTGAAGAGAGGGTCTTATATAGATAGTAAATAGCGTACTTAGCTGATCTTAGACTCTAGAGATCTAGATATAATATTATTACTATTATTTGACTAATAGATTATTAATTAGCTTTTCTATCTTTAAATTAATACTAATTAATACTCTATTTCTTCTAGATCGAATGCTACTAATTACATTGAACCTATAAGTCTTAATCGAATATAAATTAACCCTATCTATTAACTAGTTCTAATTAAGTGTAAAGCTAGTACTATCTACTACTAGTATTA